TGGTATGTGTGTGGCCAAGTTTTTTTGCAATAATAATTTCACCTTTCTGACTTTCTGTTAATTCTTTTTCCATGGCATATTATGCGGTAAAATTTAAAGGGCGATTTTTTGAGAGGAAATTACACGTAGCTTTATAATTCTTGGATATATCATATGAAGATGAGATTTGTTTTGATTATAGATTGCCACTATATGTAAATAATTTATTATAAAATAATTGTCAAAAAAAACACAAGATCAAATAATATAAATTAATTTAAAAATGCATAAAATGTCCAATACTTCTTTCCACCCTCTGTATATTTAAGATATTTTTCTGATTGAATTTATAATATAAATAAAACTAGAATTTTTTTATTAATTAAAATTTGATCAAATATTAATAATATAATATTATGCTAGATGTAAAAAAATAAGAAATATCTTTTTATTATTATGTATAAATATTAATAGATCTTATAAGTTAAATAACTTTATAATAAATAAATTAGTAAATTTTTAATATTTTAAAAATTCAAGGATTCAAAACTTATCTATAATATATTTAAATAATATTAAAATCTAGATACTTATGATTTTTTTAGAAATAATTATAAAATTTTAATTATTGAATTATATAAAAATATAAAAATTAATATATTTTTTACTTTTTTTGATAATTATTAAAGTCATAAAATATAAGAAGTGACTCTTTATATATTAATATTTACTTTCTTTTTTCAAATTTAAATTTAAAGATCTAGTTAATAAATGCTAAAGTAATTATAATTTTTAAAAAATATTATTATATCTTTATTTTTAATAAGTTTATAATATTAATTTATCATTATTTCATTTTTAGATAAATATTAGAGCAAATCAAGACAGATCAATTTATTCAAGATTTGAAAATAAATATTCTTGAAGTAATTTAATATATTATTCAGATCTGAAAAGAGATGACTCTGGTAATTATTTATAATTATTAATACTATATTAAGATTCTTACCAATAATATTACTTTTTTAAATTATATTTAGAAAACTAATAATTTAACACTTGAGGATATTATCAAGATATTTGATACTTTTTATCTTTCAAACCAGATGGAAGTTAATAAATTTTTGATTATTCCTGATGAGAATATTATTTATAAAATTCCAGAGAAGGATCAATTTATCATGAAGCTTGCAGATGTATTTAGAAAGATAAAAAATAACTTGAATGAAGAGAATGATGATATTGAATCAATAATTATTAGTGCCAGTATAGCTTTAAAAATTTAAAAATATTTAGATTTTTTTACTTCAACAAGAGAATATAACAAAGCAAATAAAATCAGTGATTATTTTAGAATAATTTATTAGAGACAAGAAGATTATTCAATTACAATAGTCTTATATATAATAGTAAAAATAACATGACATATGCAATAATTGAGTCATAAAAAATACATTTTTCTCTAAGTGCACACCCTCTCTAAATGCACATTTAAGACTTATCCGGGAGAAATATATTTAGAGAGGTTTATCTGTATTAATACTAGTTATTTTAATTTTATTTTTAAATTTAAACTTATTATATATTTTTCTTTATAATAATTTTCAGAAACTTTTTTATTACATTATGAATTTGAAACAAGAAATAAAATTTTTAGTTCTTCCTTTGTTTCAAGCTTAAAATTTCAAGAACCTAAATTTTTTAGTTTTTTAAATATTTGTTTATTTAGCTTGATATTTAAATCTTAATACTGTTAATATGCTATTCTTGAGAAAATTTAAATTTGTGTCTAGTTTGGTTTGCTCTCAGAAAATTCTACTGTGACATCTTTCGCGCATTCTTGCATTTTCCAAATTAACAATAAAAAGTTATTTACGTACTATTAATAAATGTAATTACGAATTTAGACTAGAATAATTTGGTATAACATAAAGTTAAGTGAATTTGCTTTATTTTTAGATTTTTGCAATATGTGAATCTACAAATTTTTCATAATTACATATAAATCGAAATATGAAATATTTTTCTTTTCAAAATAAGATTACATTCTAAAGTTCAAAAAGGTTTGAAGGAAGAATAGCTATTTGAATCCGAATTTTGGGGATACTTCTTGCTAGTACCAGAATTCAGTTAATTTGCAAAGACAATATAGCAATATTACATACTTCAATAAGAACATACAATTATAGCAGCTCTGATTCATTTGTCAATGATTTACCTTTTTTATACAAATACCGTACGGGCGAATATCGTCATCATTTGGCGAAATCCAATATTCGCCACAGCCAGTATTTGCCGATGAAATTTTAATCAAAGTAGTAGGATTGACGCGGTTCTGGAAAACAATGCAGTATCTTTCGTTCTCATGGCTGAACTTCAAGGCGTATCCCGCAGCGACGTTAATGTCGGGGGTCGAATAAATGCCATGGCCGTATGCAAATCGTTTTCCTTTACTTAATTTATAGCCTTCTTTAGCAATCGAGTTGCAATTGCTTTTGTCGGTTCCGTGGTATGAAACAGGCCATTCGTTGTCGTAAGAATTATAACGATTATTAACAGAGTAAGGACCAAGCCATGCGTTATTAGATCCATATTTATTAAGAACCTTAAGCGCCTTTCTATTCCAACCGCATGGACGTTTGTATCGGTAATTTCCGCGCATGAATTTTTCATCGTTAGAATCAAAGACATTCGAGAGATCACGATCAAAGCGTGGGTCTAAATGAGTGGTGTCAAGAGACAAGACTGATGGTTTGCAACCACCATGTAAAGATAAAAATAGATATAGAGTGGATTTTTCTGTAACTTCGTATTCAATTAGACTTTTATAATTTGCAAGAGTTCTGCCTTGAAAAATTAATCGTTGATGTTCAACTGGGATTGCTATTTTTTCTCTAATCAATTCTTTGACTTTCTCAACTCTGTCTAATAATTGAGGATTAAGATTTAATATTTGCCCACTTAAGGTTTTCACATAAATGAGAGGATGATGTCGCAAACTTTGTTTCCCTTCCAGAAGATTATTGTATTGCACCGATTGGGAACTATTATTAGCATCATTAATCATGTTTGATTCTTTGTGAATTGTCTTGTCGTCTTGAATTTCCGTGTCAACATCTCCAAGCTTACCCCAAACAAGAAGTGATTTATGTAATGTATCAAAACTTATTATACCATCATAATGAGGATATATAAGATTATTTTGTTCCCTTTCTTGTTCATATTTTTTCTTGTGAACATATTCTTCGTACGGCTGTACAACTTCTTTTGTTATAGCTAAAATAGCGGCATTAAATAGTGACATATTTGTAGTGCATTTATAAGAAATTCGAATTTTTGTTATACTTAGCTAAAAGTATAATCAATTAAATGTTTTTAAAATCTAATGCAGGATTTATATGTATACGTAAGCGTAAACAGCAATGAATTATTTATATTCGCAATTAAATTATATTAAGAACTTATTTAATCAAACAATTTATCATTAATATTGTAAGTTGATTTCCGTGTTTTGCCTTTGAGATTTAAATTTCTATGAATTTTTAAATTACATAGCCAACTCCGTTAAAGTGGACAGAAGGTTTAAAAACTCCGGTTTATTCAGTAAATTCAGTTTATCGAGGCAGATTTGCTATAACAATAATGAACGGCTTATGAAACTAAATTCATAACGGGACTTGCTGCGTATAATGTGGTGACCAGATAAAGACTTTAGCCTGCTATGCACATGTATTTTATCAAATAAAATGGATTTCGTTATTGTTGTATTACCAATATTCACTAGTCGAACTACAATATTTAGACTAGAAATTTAATCAACTTTCCACCAAGAAATTTTCTAAATCGAAAGTTTGCTAAAATCAGAAAATGTTAAAAAAAATACAAGATGATAGTCCAGGTTTGTTACTCAAAAATTCACATAAACGCATAAATAGTAAGTTCTAACTGCGTTAGTACGTGGCCGTAATCTTGCACTTTGCAGGTAGATAATACATTTTGGGTCCACAAAATACATGTATATTTCCGGATATTTCAAGTACAAGGAAGTCCGAGTTTTAATTACGTAAACTCAAACGTGCTACGATTTTATGTAATTTCGAATTATCGTTATGCGCAAGCCAAAACAACATGAAATCTACACTCCGATTTGTGTAACTTTGTTTTAAGGAATCCTTTTATGGTTAAAAACCAAACATTTAAATTTAGAAACGAAGCTTGTTATTGTTAGCTATTTAATAGTTTTCCGTTACTTTTTAGAATTCTATACTCAGCTAAATAAATAGTTGACATTCTGATTACGACCTCACGAATCAATAAAAACCACAGATAATCATTAATTATCACATTATTGTTAGGTAATTTATCAGTATTAAATAACGATACGAAAGAGAAAGCTAGATAGAAATAACAATAAATTTTTTCAATTCAGACAATGCAAACTTTACCTATTGAACTACGACAGAAAATTTTTAGGCAACTCAATAAGCATAGCCAGTTCAACTGTTTATTGATCAATCGACAATTGTGCCGCGAAGTAGTATCAATTCTTTGGGAAGCTCCACTATCAATCAGAAATGTGAAAGGAGCAAAAGTAATAAATGCATACATTAAAAACTTCTCAAACGAAACATGGAGATATCTTCTTGCAAATGGAATCAGTAAAAAATCGATCACAGGTCCGCCAGCTTTTAACTATGCATCTTTTCTATGCGTATATGATCCAATTTTAGTAAATTGTGCCGCGGAAGATTGGTTGAGATGTAAATGTAAAAGTCCTTCTGCTGAAAAATGCAATGTATTGAGAGATTCTCTATGTCAACTTTTTCTAGCTGAAATGAAGTCTATGCGTTCTTTGACATTTGATTCATTTCACCCTGACCAATTTTGGAGCTCAATTCCTAAAGAACGGTCGACAAGTTTATTGTTAAAGAATCTTAATCAAATATTTATAATCGGAATTGCTAAAGGTCTGGACAATTTATTCCAAGAATTGGCGAAAAATTGTCAAAATATTGGTGGAATTACGTTGTATTGTGATTGCAATCCGAATATTCGTATTACAAAGCAATTGGAAAATACTGCGATAGGATTGAAAAAAACCATTCTTGCTCAAAATGGTTTGCAATGGCTCAAGTTATATGAAACATCTGCAATTTTATTCAGATTCATTTCAAGTTTTTATTCCTCATCAACAACAATACGCGCCATTGAACTAAATAAAGTAGATTTGATATTACTTCAATCGGATAATGTTCTCGAAGCGTTAAGCTTTTGTGAAAATCTCGGTTGTCTGAAGATTTTAGGTTGTAAAAACTTAAATCAGCAGTATTGGTCTGAAATTGCCAGATTTTTCAAGAAACTTGAATATTTATCTATTTCAGTGGTGCAAAGAGAGATTCCAGTGAAATTTTTAGAGCAAATTTTTATTTCAGCTGGAGATAATTTGAAATATCTTAGCATCACTTATAGCTCTATTATAAATAGTTCAATACTAGATAGGCTCCTTCCATTGTTCTCTTGTTATCTTTATAATTTACGAGCCCTAGAAATGCAAGGATTAGATTTGAAGAATGCTGTCTCCTCGTTACGATCTTGTAAAAAACTTCAATATCTGGCAGTTTATCAGGATATCTTCAGTAGAAATAATGTATTAGATACTTTGATAGAAGTATTCCCCACCTTGGAATTTCTAATTATCCGAGATTTTTCTGGTATGTCGGATCATTTATAATTATTCTTGATTTTCAAATTACATACACCGCCCTCTAAACATCTCGTTTTAGATATCAACGTGACATATTCTCTTGTTGAAAAAAAGAAAGCCGAACGTAAATACGATGTAAAAATGAATGTTAGCGCAAATTATTTTCACGAAAGTAGGTATTTTCATATTTTCTGAGTTTAAATTGTTATTGTATTTGGGTGTCTAATTTTCCTTCTTAAAATGTTTAGCAATTGATTCTATTTATTTCCCCGACTTTAAATGATCGAAGTTTTATATAATGGTTTGTGCATTGATAAAAGAAGCAAACGAGAATTACATACAGCTGGAAGCAATAACAATTTCAAGCTCCTTATAGCGCATCAAATTTTATCTGAACAAAGAATAGTCATTTATTTACATAATGTAATAGTTTAGGACAAGCTTATAAGCAATAATTTTTTATTATTATAATTTCAGAAATTCTAAGTATTTGAATTATTGATATAAAACAGAAATGGATATAATAATAATCTATTTATTACTGGTATTTTTGTATGTTCATTTCATTTAATCTTATTTTTGTGACTCTATCTAGTACTAACGCAATCTGAATCCGTACCGGAAATTCCGGGTTTAACCCGATCCGAATCTGATTTGAGTTTGATCCAAAGTTTTATCCAAGCTAACATTAGCAATTGATGATCACTTTAAGAAAGGTCCTATTTGAATCAAATATACATTCTTTTTTATCTTCTTTAAACATAACAGATCTGTTTTAATTTAATAAAATAACTACAGCATATAACTCGATTATTTAATTTTAGAATTAAGGTAATTTTCTACATGGATAATCGGAAATAATATACCAAAATTGCGTTTTCTGCGTAACGTCATTAATATATCAAGTGTTCATCTACAGCTGTTTAGTTAATTTATAATATTTAAAAAATCATAGTTGAATTTTATTGCAGTCCTAGAATTTCAATTGCATTAAAACAGAAAAATCATGCCTGCATTTTGGAAGTTGTTTCCGGAATAATTTGATTTGTTAATTCAACTTCTTCATCAGGATAGTTGCTTTATAAATTGTTCCAAACACCACCTTCTGTAAGATATTCAACAATGCTAAATCCTATAAAAAGATCCATTTAAAAGATATTTAATTTTCAGATATCCTTTTTATAATAGAGTGATATCCCATTAGAGCATTCAACTTTATAATTAATTTGTGATATTTAGCACAATGCTGTTGTATATCGTGCCGTTTTGAATTCTTAAATCACGTGCTATTAGGAAAAATGGATTTTTGTTGCCAAGTTAGGGCAAAATGATTGAATACTGAAAATAATAGCTATGTTATTTATTGAATATTCTCTTCTCAAAGCCTGTGTCAATATCGAGGGTAATGTTGAAAACATAATTTCTTTAGCAAGATCAGACAGACAGTACAATGTAAATAATCAAAATTCAATAACTAAACTAAAAATCTTTGAAAAATGCAAAATCATAAAGATTCAACTAACAACATCAAATTTTGTCAGCAAAGGATGTGTCCTTTGTTATACTTAATACACCTCGTTGTTTTGTGTGCAAGTGGCGTTCAATTATATTCCTCTTAATTTGTATCCGAGATATTCTCTCTTTTGATCTAAAATTTTATGCGCATGAGTCGTTTCTGTACCAGAAAAGACATTTGATGCATTAAAGAATGCTTTTTATTAAGATGCTTGGCATTTGTGCAATTTTATTATCGTACCTATGATCATCCTCTTTCTAATCCTCTTTATCAAAAAAAAATCCACTTTTGTAGTGGAATAATAATATAAAAACTTTTCAACATCATATTAAACAAGTTACTATTCCTGCTACATCTGTTCCTTCTGAAAGACGCAGAAAACATAATAACTGAAATATGAAATCATCCTTCTTCTGATATTGTTCATGATATTTTGTTTTTAAAGCATAATACTTTTCAATGTTTATCCAGGGCTTGAATTATAAGAAACATTAAGCAATTTATCTTTTTTTAATAAATTACATATACAGTAATTTTCTTTTTTTGGAAATTATACTAGACCGGCCCGGCCGACCTGGCTGATAATATTATGATAACCGGGCTGGTCGATAAAAATATGGCAGCCCATATCACTAGTTTACATATACTTTTTTGCACCTGATTTTGGGATGAAACATGGGAGGTAGTTTATTTTCGGACTTCTACGGTGATAGTAGTCAAAAAACATAAGCTGTACGAAATTTGCTTCAATTACATATTTAACTAAATCATTTGTGATGCTTGCATGTTTGTTCGCTTTTTTACTTAAAGTGAAAATAGCTTTATTCAATAAATGAGATGAAATTTTACATATTTAAACGTTATATATTATTAAATTTATGCTAATTTTGCTTTAGATATTATTTCAAAATTTTTTTCAGATTTAACATGATAAATTTACTCTAGCTTTCTAATATCATAATGGGCATCAATTTAATAAAATATACAAATTAATAATCATTTCTGAAAATATACTACCTAGCAAATAAGTTACTCCATGTTTTAGATATGTGAAATG